GAGGATGTGAGTTGGCAGAAACCCACTATCTTGCAATGGGAGTGCCTGTGCACTAAAATACGTAAGTAAGAGAAAGCACTACTTTATTTCTTATGAACTGTGTGATATATTTGTTCATTGTGAAAGATAGAAAATGTGTCCTCGTTAAGCCATTAAATAGTAAGAACAGACAATAATGGCAATGTCCAATTTTATCCTCCCAATTATCTAATAAATGATTATTTTTTGTTTGTTTGTTTGTTCTGAGGCAAAGTCTTGGTCTGTAATTCAGGCTGGCCTTGGGCTGAACTCACAGCAATTCTCATGCCTCAGCCTCCTGAGTGCTGGAATTACAGGTATGCACCATGACACCTCGCTTAGATGATATTTTTTTTCTTTCTTTCTTTTGTACTTGGGATTGAATTCGGGACCTTGTGCTTTCGAGGCAGGTGGCAGCACCACTGAGCTAAATCCCTAGGCCTAGATGATGATATTTCTTTCTTTCTTTTTTTTTGGTACCGGGGATTGAACTTGGGACCTTGCGCTTGTGAGGCAGGCGGCAGAACCACTGAGCTAAATCCCTAGGCCTAGATGATGATATTTCTTTCTTTCTTTTTTTTTGGTACCGGGGATTGAACTTGGGACCTTGCGCTTGTGAGGCAGGCGGCAGAACCACTGAGCTAAATCCCTGGCCTCCCTAGATGATATTTCTTAAACTAACCTATGAACATAATTTTTCCGCTAAAAGATAGGCCAAAAAGCCACCAGCATAGTGCAAAACAGGTATGAAAGGAAACTCCCATCCTAGGTTGACCCACCCTAACCTCAACTGAACTCTGAAAGCTGAGTTACTGGTGCCATACAGAGGTATTGGCTACAGAATGATGACCACCTTTATAGACACTAGCTCTTCCTCCTCCATACACAATCCTGAGAAGACACACACACACACACACACACACACACACACACACAGCCCTCCATACAAAGAGCTCAGTAAGTGGTCTTGTATTAGGAAGGTAGGATTTGTCTTGAGTTTTCACTCAAACCAAGGCGAGGACATTCTCACCATTTGAAAATGATTCTATATGCTGCATCTAGAAAGACCTTAGAAAATTTACTCAATAATCAGAAAGCAAAAGCTCCTTTTTCTTTGTACTTTCATTCCTGTTACCCAGAATGGTCTAGAAAGCGGGAGAAGGGCATGTTAAGGTTGGGGCTGCAGGAAAGAAGAGCATGAAGTTCTAAGGAGTGACACACTCACAGCTGCCTTCTCTTGACTTCACTGTGTTACCATATCCCCACATTGTTACAGACACCTGTTTTGCATGACATGGTTTGGTTCCCAGCTCTGGTTTTACCTGGGGATGAGAAATCTAAGTGGGGATAGGCAGTGGGCAAGCAGAGGCATAACCACAGCAGTATCAGGGAGAGACATCAGGGCTCGGTATCACAGCACAGCCCAGGGTCAGCCAAGGCTCTAGGGCCAGGCAGGAAACACTTTTTGTCTCCATGGCCCATACCAATGTGTGTCACAACTCAACTCGGCCAGGGTCACACAAAGCCACCACAGACGACACAAAAATAAGCATGGCAGTGTTCCAATAAAACTTTGTGGATACTGGCATCTGAATTTCATGTAATGTTCACATGTTATGAAATATTCTTTCTACTATTTTTTTAACCATTTGAAAAATGTAAGATATATCTGAAGCTTGTAGGCCATATTCAGATTAAAGATAATGTTCACCAACCCCTATACTGTATTAAACTATGTTTCAGATTCAGCTAGCAAAGTCTTGAATTTCATATCGTTCCTATCAGTTATTTGCTGATCCCTTGTATTGTGACTTTGAGAATTTTAAAGAGACAAATTACATTACTCAGGGTGTTTGTAATTTAAAAAAAAAAAAAAAAAAAGACCCCTCTGGGTTTGAGTGCAAAATAAGAGAAAAAAATGAACAGCTAAGGAGTAAGTGATGGGTACACTGAAGGGGTGATTGTGGCACCAATACCCCACAGAGGAATAGGGTTCAGCACGATTTCTGAGCTCACAAGAGCTCTAACTTCGACCCTCAAATACACAGCAGGGGGTGGCTCCATTACACAGTGTGCAAATAAAGTAACTGTCAGGTCACGTTCAGTACTTTAAAACAAGCATTTATAAAACGCAGTGTCTGTCATGCTGTCTTTTGCATGCTTCTGCTTTGAATGATTTCAAGTTCAAGGTCAAAACTTTTCATGGGTGTTAACAGTGCTCTTTAAAACACTTGTACTTTATGTTTTGGGACACAGCCTTTCATCTAAACCTCAGGAAAAACTTTTTCACAGTGGGTACAGCCCCTTGTCAGTCTCTGATGGTTTTTCTTTTTTTTTCTTTTATGATACCGGGGATTGAACTCATAGGATCTTGTGCTTGCAGGGCAGGCATGGCGCCACTGAGCTAAATTCCCAGCCCATCTGATGGCTTTTCTGTTAAGAGTTTACACGTGCCAAGAAAATGGACACATGAGTAAGAAGGAGGTAAAAAGCACTGGAGCTCATGTGTGTGTGTGTATTTTTTTTAAAGGAATGGTACTGTGCAACACTTGAGACAGCATAAAAAATGTCTGACCATTTATGCATTCAAAGTTAAATACTGCTCATGCAGAAAACATCTGTTGGTCATAACCAAAGTGCTAAAACCTAGGTGCTCCACACAGAGAGACACTGTGCCTTCTCATCACTGTTGCTTTAATTCACACATGGTAAGCACTCAAGAAAAATTAGCTGAATGCTGCATTAATCCAAAGGCAATATTAACCCTAGGCACTATTCACAGGATAACAATGCCACCTGCCTCACTGACCTGGTGGTCAGGCCTTTATGAGATAGTAAGTGATGCTCAAGAATGGTAATTTTTATCCTTGTTTTAAAGATGAACAAACCAAGGCTCAAAAAAGATTAACTTGTCCAACTGAGTGACACTGAAACCTGAATGTACCTAACTTCAAAGTCCTTACTCTAATTGATCTTGACTAAGAAATGCGACTTAATACTAAAACCAGCATTCGTATAAGGGGAGGGGAGGGGAGATTCTACTTTCCTAACTTGATTAAAGAATTCAAGGGGAAACCAAGAATTGTCTACTTTTTCTGGCTCAACTGTCTTCCCTAAGTAAGGACACTGGTCATTCTTCCTGCATTAGAGGATAAAAGGAGAAGTGCAGTCACTTACAGCACCAGACAACTACATAACCAGAATGTGGGGAAATGTTTCTCTTTAACCCACCAGAATAACATTTAATAATTTCTCTTCCTATTTTAATTTAAATTCCAGCCTCCCTCCCCCCATTTTAAAGTAGATTGTAACTATATAAACAACTACCACCTTGGGCCTATAGGTAACTTTATTCATGGGTGTTTTGGCTACTGTCTGAAAACATGTAAAAGAGGGTCAGCTTAGAATGTTGTTTTATAGATTTCAATTTTTTTAAAAAGTTCCTAGAACTCCAAATCTAAAATTAAAACTGTTTTTGTTAATTTCACTCTTGAACTCACAGACTGGAGTCTACAAATAAATGTCAATTTCAGAGGCTGCTTCCACCACAGAGCTCAATATAACCATCAACTTGCATTCAAATTTATAGCAATTCAGGGCTGAGTGTGTAGAGCAGTGGCAGAGCCCTTGTCTAGCATGTGCAAGGCCTTGGGTTCCCTCCACAGCATAAGGTGGAGGTTGGGGGTGGACACACAATTAAACTTTTAACAATTGTAACTCTGAAGCTTTTAAAATCTCTTTAATCCAAAGAACTCAAAGTTAACAAAACAAATGTAGCTAAGAGACACTTGACACAGTACGCAATAAATGCTAATACGGGGTCGGGGATTTAGCTCAGTGGCACTGAGCCTGCCTTGCAAGTGCAAGGTCCTGAGTTCGATGCCCGGTACAAAAAAAAAAGCTAATAGTGTTAGCATTAATAACAGTCCTTTAGTGCTTCTATCCTAGCTGATAATTTTCAAATGTTTCCCTCCAAAACAAATTTGGTAAAGTCTTTAAAAGCTTCTTAAACCGGGTATGATGGTGCATGCCTGTAATGCCAGCACTTGGGAGGCTGAGGCAGGAGGATCACTGCAAGTTTGAGGTCAGCCTGGGCTACAAAGTGAGTTCAAGGACATTAAACTACGAAGGGAGACTCTGACTCAAAAAAACCTCAAAATACAAAAAGAAAAAAAGCTTGTCAATCATTTTTCTGTCAAGTTTAGAGAATTTAAAGTAAACTTTGAAATGAATTTCTAGGAAGATCGATAGCACACCAAGGTCTAAGCCTGGCCTCCTATCATCTTAATTGGAATATTCAAACACAGAGTCCAAAACCAAACTACTGCTGTATACAGTAAATGCAATCACACTACTACAAAGGAAGTCTTTACTGCAGCCTTTGGTTAGCACTAAAACAGGAACTCATCTCAGAAACAGAAATCCAAACCCTTCCTTTACAGACAGTAATACTGTGTTTTATACACAGGCTTAATGGTGTAGGGGCTTTTCAGAACCTCAAATATGAAGGAAATTTTCAGTAGTTACAACAAAAAACTAAAACTATGTTGGTCTTGGGTGAATTGACTTTGAAAGCCCAAACCCCTAACCTTTTCTTAACAAGGTCTCCAGATTTGGAGAGTCCTTCCCTAGGTTACTTTCAACAGTTCCACTGCAGTCTTTTGTTATGCATTTCAATGACAAAGGATCCGGGATCCTCCCAACCCCCACTCAACACCACAAACTAACCCCCAATCTCTCCATAGAAACAAACTCTAAATAAGCCAAAACAACCCTCTTTAAGTTATGGGAAAACCAATTACTTTCAGTTCGAAAACTACTCTGATGACAACAAAGATATGCCACAGCACTCTTAAATCTGGGGAAGACCCAACATCATTTCCAGAACTAGGAGGAAAGAGGAAAGTGCTCCATTGGTTCAGAGCAGGCAAGCCTTTCTCCTTCAGGAGGTCCTGACCTTACCCACCTGGCCCTGCACTCACCTGAGCCCTGCCCAAGGCAGCCTCACACTGTCCGGCCGGTCACGCCTCCTGCGGTACAGCCCTGAGTGGGAGAGCTCTTTGAGCTGCAGGGCGGTCATGCTCTCGCCACACTCTGCTGGGACGTTAGCTACAGCACTGGGCTCACTGCAGTGGCCCTGCCGCAGCCCTTAGCGCACCTGACTTGGTAGAAACCTCCTGGCAGGCGGCTGGGCCCCTGAGTGCAGCTTCCTGTTTCTGCCCAGTCCACACCCTCCTCCAAGGCAGGCCTGCCCTTATCTAGACGTCTCCTACCTTGAGGAGGGGGAGTGGGGCTCACAAGTTTACAAATAACCCAAACTGCTCACACACAGTCATACCAATTCCTTTACAAATCTCTCCAGGATCACTCTGAATTGAAATTGTGCTAAAAAGCTCCAGTAAGATTGTGGCTAAAGAAGGGTTCTGTCCTGTTTTATTTGCCAGGAAATCCATTAACATGTTCCAGGCAGCTGTCAGTTTAAAGAAGTGCCTTGTCATCAGGAGCTCTTTGGGACATTGTCCTTAAAAAAGGGGGAGGGGAGCAGGATAAAAAGGAAAACAGTCCAATTCCTCCTTCTTACCACTGCACTCTAAATCCTCTCTGGAAGGGAAGGAAATGTCTGGTCCGTCCCCTTCCCATTAAATATTACTCAAAAATTCATAACTGAAAGGAAGATGGTTTCTTCTGTCAACTCCCACTTAACGATTTTCTGAATCTGTAGCTCCTTATTCTGAACCCACCCACTCACACAGCCACTTGGCAGGACCAACATCACCCAATACAGCCAGCCTAAAGGTGTTATGAGCCCACGCAGGTACTGAGCCTGGGAAGGAAGGGGGTGGGGCAGATAGTGGAGGACACATTTTATGGGCAAGTTCTTGGTCACCAGTTCCACGTGACATCAGTAGAATAGGAGGCAGGGCTCCATCCTCTGGGCTGATTCAGTCCTACCCAAGACCTGCTTTCTACCAGAAACACCGGCGAGCTGCTGGCAGGTTCTTAGTCAACAGCTTGACTTTGAGGTGCTCCTAATTTCTTTTTGGGTGAGGATTTGTACCAGTTGTTTTTTCCTTCTAGAAACCCTATCAGGGTCTGACATGCTTTTACACCAAGGATTGCAGGGTTAATGTTGTCCCCTCTCTAAAAATAACTGCTATAAATACAGAAATCACCCCCCATTCCTGTGCAGCCTCAAGGAAAGGGAGTCTTTTACATCACTGGGCCATAGATACCAGCTCCCTCTGGGGCTGCCTGTCACCCTGGGTCTGTAGCCACACTGGAAACAGATGACTCGTTACAGCTGCCTTTAAGATATAGCAGACATGTTGAAAGATATAGGAAACTTAACTCAGTTTGTCACTATACTAGATTGAATTAGCCATAAAACATCCACAGAAAGGTGACAGTTGCATCCCTTTCCCCTTTCTCTGGAGGGATACATCAAAAGCTAGTCATACTGGCTGCCTCCGAGGGACCGGAGGGAGAGGAGCAGGTAGCTTTTCCATTAAACCACTTTATGCCTTCTAAACTCAGAAAATCCTACCTATGTAAAATAAGAAATAATTTACAAGATTTACATGTCTTTTATACAAATCCCGAAAGTCCTAAGACCTAAAGTACAGAAAAGTTTAGAGTAATACAAACATAAAATTTGGACTTCTAGTTCCTTATGTCAAGACAGGTGGAAAAAAATGAACAGAAACAACCATCTATCTTTAATTTTTTTCGCTCTAGCCATCAAAATAGAATAGATGCTTGATGAATAAAATACATATAAACTATATTTTTTTGTTTTTTTTTTTTGGTACCGGGGATCGAACTCCGGTCTTTGCGCTTGCGCAGCAGGCGGCAAAACCACTGAGCTAAATTCCTAGCCCTGTTGTTTTTTTTGAGACAGGATCTCACTATGTAGCTCAGGTTGGCACTGAACTCACTATGTAGCTCAGGCTGGCCTCAAACTTGCAGCAATCCTCCTGCCTTTGCCTCCTGAGTGCTGGGATTACAGGCGTGTGCCACCATGCCCAGTATCAACTATGTACTTCTGCAAGCACAGAAACTTCAGCATTTACTATGACCTGTTTCTGGGGCTGAGAGTATAATTCAGTTGTAGAGCGCTTGCCTAGCACCATGCAAGACTTGGGGGTTCAGTCCCCAGCACTAAAGAGAAGACAAGAGAGAGGAGACCTGTTTCTATAGAACAATGCTGTGACTAGCCTTCTTTTTAAAGGAACTTAAAAAAAAAACCCAAAAAATCTAACCCAGTATGCTGATGAGGAAGCAGGACCTGGTGACTACTGAGGGTTACTCAGACAGGAAACACTGAACTATGTGGGACGGATCCTGTGTGTGATGAGTCTAGGGTTAAAAGGATGTGAGGAGAGGAACAAAACACCAGTTCCAGGCCCCATAAGGAACCAGCTGTGACAACTCTTGCCCTCTGACTTTTCAAATGGCTGGACTGGCAAATAGAAATCTCAGCGCATCAATGCTTATGCTTTAATGAAGTAGCTACACAGAGGGAAATTAAACTCTGGGTCTTTGGGGGAAGGTTTCTTTAACCACTGTCTCTCCCTCACCCTTCAGATGTGCATCTCCCTCACCCTTCAGATGTGCACTGAGACCTGACCCAGTGTAGGGAGAGTTGGGGGAGGACACACCACTGGCTAGATCTCAGGCTGCAGCCAGGTCACCAAAAGTCCCCACCCCAGGGTCTGTTCTGTACCCAGGTGGAGCACACAGCCACACACTATGGGAGCCCAGGAAGCTTTAGGTCTCCACCTTTCCCTTTCAAACATGCCTTCTCATAGAAACAGTGACCAGCTGCGCTCAACTCTCAGGGGAGGCTACTTAGCTGGTTCTAAGTCTCAAAGAGCTGCGGCAGCATCGCTTCTGCTACAGAAAAAGCCAGAATAAGTGCCCTTGTCTCAGGCTCTAAGCAGATTTTTCTTTTCACACTCTGAAAGCATCCGAAGGCCACTCCAGCTTTCTTTCAGTCAGCCCTCATATGGTCTTAGCCAGTGCACTACACCCAAGGTGGGGAGTCACCTCTGACTGTCTCCCCACACTTCTGGGGCCTGCCCCAATGCAAGGCCCTAACCTCAACCCTCTTCTAGCCTACATCCCCTCCAGGGTAGCCGGCTGCAAGCCTCACTGCAACTTCTACCACTTCTGTCTGTCCTCCTCTCCAAGCTGCCCCATTCCTGCTGAATCTGTACCTGACTCCCTGCATACATGACAATCTATTCCAGTTTAATGTGATCAGCAAAGCTGGTCCTAATTCTTCAAGCTCTTGATTACAGTGACAGAATGCAAAGCTCTCTGGAGCACCTCGAAAGGCCTGTCTCTTCCCAGGCAGTTTTCTATCTTCTGAACTGTGGGCTTTCTGCGAATCTTAACACATAGGTGAAGGTTTCGCCCAGGAAATACATATGACCATCTCATTTTACCACGGTTCTAGGGAGCTGACAGACTACCCTCGGAGAAGTGTCCCTCCATAGTGTGTGCTACCTTTCCTCAAAGCCTCCAGTCCCATAGTGCAGGACTTTTCAGTCTCACTGTCCATGTGATTTGTATTCACTTGGAACCAATCAATGGGTGGGACACTTTTAGGAAGGCCCTCTCATCCCTCTGATTTCTCACTGATCCTTTTGCCACCAATCTCACCTTCTTCTAATCTGCTCAAAGTGATCTTTTAGAATGCAAATCTAACTAACATTAAAAACTAACCCTTGGAAGCCTTCATAGTACAACAGATCAAGTGAACAGAAAAACCATGGGCACCAGGTCTCCAGCCCAGCCCTCTTCCCCCCGCACCCTGGGTGCCTAGCAGGCCATTCTGAGGTAGGCCTCACTCTGCCACTTCTACACTGGCATACTTGGCGTGAGACCAGCTCCTGTCCATCCAACCTCCGGGGCTTGGCATGAGGAACACCTCTGCCTACCTCCTGTACCATGAGCCCCTCTTTGGGCTCCTGTCTGTCACCACTGTCTTACAGCCTCGTGACAGGCCATTTCTCTACCCAGCTCTGCCCTTGGAATAATGGTTCCTAGAGGGCAGCAATGTGCCAAACTTGTCACCATGTCCAAGGAACAGGAGCATGGTGGACATGCATGCTGGCTAACTAAAGAAGTCCTCTGTGGTCACTTCGCTTAATTTTGAGAGGCTGATTTCTTTCTCTCTCTCTTTCTTTTTTTGGTACCAGGGATCGAACTTAGAACCTTGCGCTTGCAAGGCAGGTGGCGGAACCACTGAGCTAAATCCCTGGCCTGAGATTTCTGAATTTGTAAAAATGCTGAAGCTTTCAGATTTTCAGATCTGCAGAGGTTTTTTGCTGCTGTTGTTTTTCTTTTCTTTTTTTGTGACAGGGTCTCGCTATGTGGTTCAGCCAGCCTTGAACTTACTGCATAGCCCAGGTTGGCCTGAACCTGGAGATGATCCTCCTGCCTCAGCCTCGAGTGCTAGGATTACAGGTGTGTACCACTACCCCTAACATTAGATCTGTAGAGTTGTACAGTACCTTCCACAAGTATAATAAGCACTTGTAGATAATAAAAAAAAAATTCACCTTTTAAAAAATCTAAACTTGTCATAGTCAGTTTTTAGCATTCTGTTACAAGTAGTCCCTCTTGGCACAGGAGGGTAAAGAAACCTGAATGGACACCAAGCTGATCATTAATGTTACTAAAGTGTCAGTTCTTTCTCCTTACAGAACTAAGAAAGCTGCCAACGAGCTTCCTCGCAGGCTTAGGGTTCACTGGGGCCTGTAAACTGGTCAGACAGCTGTATATTTCCAGCCATTAACTTCCTTGTGTGCTATATAATAAGAGAAGAATTATCTTTCTTTGCCTAATACATACTGCCAGACACACTAACTTCCAATATGAGACCTCTGCAGAGGGTTCTAGGTGACATTATGAAGGATGGATTCATGGCTGCAGATTGCTGTGGAAGAGTTCAACCAAGGACCATGGGGTGTGGGTTCCAGTTTAAACTCACAGAGCAGAGCGTATGACAGGGAGCACTAGTGGCCAGGCAAACTGTCCAAAGTGGAAAAATCATCAGAAGCACAGTGCCATCCACAAGTCTTCCAGCCTCCCAGGCTCTCCCTGTCACCAGCCTTTCTGGAGCTATGGTGTGTCCAAGGGGTCCACAGGGGCTGTCT